TTGTTCCTGAGCATTGTCTTCATCATGAGAATGGATTGAGTTAGTTGACAATGCCGAACCGTCAGTCACAACTTTGTTTTTCTCCTTGAATCTAGCTCTTGGGATCTCCAGTCTGCTAGATAGAGTTACCGCCATGATGACTTGTCCTAAGCCGTAAATCCATTCCCTTAGATGATCTTTCAACTTTCTCTCTAGTTAGGCCTTTTTGTAAGTGGATCCGACACATTATCCTTTGACTTTACATAGTCAATTGTGATAATTCCACTAGAGAGTAGTTTTCTAACGGTATCATGTCTATGTCTTATATGACGAGACATTCCGTTATACATCATGCTTCATGCCCTACCTATTGCATCTTGACTATCAAAGTGTATGCATACTGAAGCCAAAGGTTTGGGCCAAAAAGAATATCTATCAAGAAATTTTGGAGTCTTTCAACTTATTCACCGGCCTTATCTAGAGCACCTAGCTCAGAGATCATTGTAGAGCTAGCAATATATGTCTTTTTTGGAAAATTTCCAAGAGACTGCTCCTCCACCAAGAGTAAATACATATCCACTCATGAATTTTACTTTATTTGATCCCGGTGATCCAATTTGAATCACTATATCCTTTCAATATAGTAGGATATTTGTATAATGCAAGATATAGTTTTGAGTATGTTTTACCTTTAAATACCCCAAAACTCTTTTCATTGTCATCCAATGAGTTTAATTGGGATTATTTGTGAATCGGCTCAGTTTATGAATAACACAAGCTATATCTGATCGCGTACACTTTTTGATATACGTCATACTTCCCAATACTCTAGTATAATCCAATTGTGAGTCACTTTCACCTTCATTCTTTTGAAGTGCAAAGCTCACATTATTGGAGTCTTGACAATATTACAATTCAAATATTTGAACTAGTCAAGTACCTTTTCAATGTAATGAGACCGTGACAATGCTAAACATCTAGGAGTTCTAAGGATTCTTATACCTAAGATCACATCAGCAGCTCCACGATATTTTATATCAAAGTTGCTTTCTAGCATATGTTTAGTAGCATTTATGTCATTAGAGTCTCTACTGATGATCAACATATCACCAATATACAAACAAACAATGACCTTGTGATTTTAATGTAAACACATTTATCACTTTCATCATTCTTAAATCCATTTACCAACATAGTTTGGTCAAATTTATTATGTCATTGTTTGGATGTTTGTTTTAGTCCGTAAAGTGACTTAACAAGTTCGCACACTTTCTTTTCTTTACCAGGAACCACAAAACCCCTTGGGCTGTTCCATGTAAATTTCCTCCTCCAATTCTCCATTTAAGAAAGTTGTTTTCACATTCATTTGATAATTTGGAGGTCATATACCACAACTAATAATATTAGCATCCGAATGGATGTAATTCTTGTTACTGACGAGTATATATCGACAAGCTCAAGACCTTATTTTTGTCTAAAGCCTTTGACACAAAGTCTTGCTTTATATTTGTCAACAGTTCCATCGACTTTCATTTTCCTTCTGAAGATTCAATTTGAACCCAAAAGTTTATTTTCTAGAAGAAGATCAATTAACTTCCAATATGGTTGCTCAAGATTTCATCAATCTCACTATTTACACCATCTTTCCAAAAGGCGAGTCTACAGAAGACACAAGAAATGTTACAAAATCATATTCGAAGGAAGTAAATGTCCTTTGACATTTACTACGCCTCTGAATCTCTTTATTAAGTACATTCTCTTTTTTCCTTTCCAAGGTCTTTTAGACCCTTCACTAGACTACTCAAGTCTAATTTTACAGTCCACAGTCATAGGTCCTATTTTAATCCTTTTAGAAATAGGAACTTGGACTTTGGCTAGACACCCCCACACTTTGAAATATGTCAAGTTGGACTTTGTTCAACTTTTCATCAAAGTCACAACTCTTCATAAAAGTCGCAACTCTTCATTTTCCATTCACACCTTTTAAAAACCCAACAAGTCTGACCCTGAAAGAAAATAATCCTTGGAGTATAACTACATCCCTGAATATTCAAGTTTCGAGTATCCTTTCATTTGTTGTGCCTACATACTATTTGAAACATTGTGGCATTCTTCTGACAATAAAGAAGGGAAGAACCCAAATGATTATTACATGTTGGAGGTACCTGAAGTGTACAGGGAGGAAGAACTATGCTGGGGAATTCGCCTGGAGTATGAAAAGGAAGCAATGAGTGATGCAAAAGTCTGTTTATGACTTGTTTTGCATCACAAATTTCAAATGTTTTTCTTTCTTTCTTAAATTTTGTATTCAGCCAAACACGTATTACAAGATTGTATGGAAAGAATGTGTTCTACATTGTTGGTACAATTTGTATATGAGGGGTTTGCATCGATGATACATGGATGAAATTTTTATGTATAATGTTGGTTTTTGAGTTTGAAACAACTTTTTTACCCTTATGAGGTAGGTACGTTGAGTATCCACCATCCTTTCAAGATTTCACTAGATATGTTGTTGTTTGAGTCATTTTTTATGTGATTGTTATAACTTATGCATGAGCATATATCTAACTCACAAAAGTAAAAACTATATCAGACCCATTTTCTCTTTTTTTGGGCTTAAAAAGTATTTTGCCTTTAGCACTTAACAATCAGCTGTTAGAGTGTGGTTCTCTTCTTTTCTGCTTATATCTTTGATGAGGTTAGTCTTTCTTTTCTGCTTTTTGTGTGTTTTTTCTAAATTGTAACGAATTTATATCAATTTACAGAAAGGTATCAATTCGGTGCTCATTTGTTTAATTTATCAGTGCAATACTGTAAAAGGGTACATTTTTATGTCATAAATTAGGAAGATGATAAGTAGTTTCCTATATAGGTCTAGAATAATGAAAAAATAGGTAAAGTCTTTACAATAAAATATTTTAAAAGTAGTACAAATGAATTGGGAAGATGATAACAAGTGTTTTCTTCCCTTTTTTGGTCTAAGGCCCAAGTTGTGTCTTTTTATACTCTTTAATTTCTCACAATCATGGATTAGGAAGATGACAAGAAGTTCCCTAGGAATAGTGAAGTAGGTGATGCCTTATTCTTTAATATTAAGCCTTTCTTAAATTTTGTATTCAACCAAACATGTATCTTAAAATGGTATGGAAAGTGTATGTTCTACATTGTTGGTACAATTTGTATGTACCCTTCTCAAATGAAAATTAATTATATACCAGGAATTTGTATCGATGATAGATGGATGAAATTTTTATTTATAATGTTGGTGTTTGAGTGGGAAACAACTTCTCTACCTTTTACTAGGTAAGGGTATAGTTTCGTACACGCCATCTTCCTAAGATCCCTTTATATGTAAAAGGTAATTTGGATTGGGAGAGACTTTTTTAATTTGAAAATTAATGCTATTAAAAATAATTGAGTCCTGTTGGAAGGGGTATGAGATTTTAGTATGTCATTTGTGAAGCTGATATAGGGCTTATATAAGATCTGTTTGCCATAAAAAGTAGAAGTAGTATTTCTGTTTATGATGTGTTTGTTGTTAATTGACTCTCACGTATACGGTGATATTGTTCCATAGAATTTGCATATATAATGTAAATATAAAAACTGGATGCTCCATTGTGAGTTGAAAAAACTTCCGTAGCTCAATAAGCAGATTGAAGCCTATAAATTCTTTTTAAATTTACATAAACACTTTAAAACTATTCTGGATCCAAACAGGCTCTTATATACCTCAATAGTTAGCTTTTGGGTCAGTCTTTCTTTTCTATTTTTTCTTCTAAATTATTACGAATTTTTTCTTCAATTTCTGGACAATTCCTCAGGTAGGGCAACAAATTTATATCATTTACAGAAAGGTATGATTAAGTTAAAATGGGAAAACTTATATTTGTCCCCAATTTGCTGCTCATTTGATTAATTTGTCACTACAATACTGCAAAAGGGTACAATGATATGTCATGAATTAGAAAGATGATAACAAGTTTTCTACAGAGGCTTGGAATACTTAAAAAAGGTAAAGTCTAGTCTTTACAATAAAATCAGTAAAAATATAATGACTTTTAGTTTTTTCTTTGCCTTTTTTGGTCTAAGGGTCAAGTTATGTCTTCTTGTCTGTTTCAATTCTCTTTAATTTCCCACAATAATGAAAAAGGTACAATTTTATGAGTTCTTTAATATAAAGACTAGAAATAGTGAAGTCTTTGTCTTTTCTTTCTTTTTTATCAGGTTGGTCTACTCCCCCTTTTTCACTCTTTTTGACCAAATTATGCATTCACATTGCTGAGAAATAATTTTGCCAATTGGGCTTCAAATATTGCTCTTTTTTAAGCAGCACAACATTGAACAATTTTATTTTCTCACCATATACCTAAAGCTGAGAACTTGCCTGTTAGTCTTTAGCAATATTCTTCAACAATGTCTCATGCTTCTTCTTCCAAAAGTTTTGCAAGTACGATATCTTTTTGAGTTTTAGAGGTGAAGATACGCGTAGAACCTTTGTGAGTCATCTCTATAAGGCTCTGGAACTAAGAGGAATCCACACTTTTAAAGATGATGAACGGTTGGAAGCAGGACAATCAATTTCTGCTGAACTTTTGAAAGCCATAGAAGAGGCCAGATTCGCTGTCGTAATATTTTCAAAAAGCTATGCATCCTCAAGATGGTGCTTAGAGGAGCTTGCACACATCATAAAGTGTAAAAAGGAATTGGAGCAGATTGTGATTCCAGTCTTCTATGATGCGAGTCCATCAGATGTACGCCATCAAAATCCCCCTTTCGCTGATTCATTTTCCCAACACGAGGTAAAATACAAAGATGCTATGGAGAAGGTTCAGAGATGGAGGGGTGCATTTGTGGAGGCAGGGAAAATATCAGGCTATCATTTACTTAATTTCAAGTAAGCTTTCTGCTTTTTTTCCGGTTTCTCTTTATCAAGAGCGAAAATGACCAAACTTTTAGCTACAATTCCACACAATCATCAGCTATACTTTTACCGAAAAAGCAAAACAGAGACGTATATGATTGTTTGATGATGTAATTAGATTTTGAAATGTTATAATTCATAATAAACATTATTATGTGTTTGTTTTAGATATTAGTCTATGACAAGTCTTTGCTTTTATATTTATTTACTCTGAGATTATTTTCCACTGTAATATAGGGATGAGGCAGAGTGCATCAAGAAACTAGTTGATGACATTGTTGAAATAATAAAAGAATAGTGGATCTTGTACAGCTGTCAAATTCTGTTATAACAGAATTGATAACAGGAATATTAGTTAGTTAGTAAACTAATCTGTATCAGCTATAAATAGAGGTAGTTAGCTAGATATTTTCTTAATTCATTCAGTTGTAAAGATCAGCAATTATCAATACAAAGCAATCAGTTTATTTACTCTCAAAGCTCCATCCTAGATCTTAAGGTTCATCAAAATGGTGGAATTCAACATGGTATCAATTTGGTCGATTCTAAATCAATATTCTCTCTGTTTTAATTTATGTGATGTTATTCGATTTTCGGCTAGAAGATTAGGAGCTGGTAAATCACTGATGACGAGCTTGTAATTGAAGGTGCTGGTTCAATCACTTCTTCCTTCTGTAGAATTTTTTTTGCGATTTGAATCTGAGGATTAGCAATGGCGACACTGGATGTTAGTGATCCTCGACATCCTCTCCATTTGCAACCATCAGATAACCCTGGAAATGTGATAATTTCGATCCAGCTTAAAGGATCTGAAAATTACTCAGTCTGGAGCAGAGCAATGAAAATTGCACTGCGAGCTAAGCGTAAAATGGGATTCATCGATGGAACGTGCACTAAGGATCTGTACAAGGATGATCTAGAAGAAGAATGGGAGCGCGTCAATGCTACGATTCTCACCTGGATCATGAATACGGTGTCGAAGGAGTTAGTAAATGGCATCGTGTATGCAGATGATGCGCATGCAGTATGGGTGGATCTTCAGGAGCGTTTTAACAAAGTCAATGGATCAAGGATCTACAATCTCCATAGGGAAATAGCCACAATTTCACAAGGTACATCTGATATCTCCTCCTATCATTCACGATTACGTTTACTGTGGGATGAATACCAGTCCTTGATTCCTGCGTTATGTGGATGTGTCACATCGAGAGATTTCGTAGTACATCTAGAACAGCAAAAATTGTTTCAATTTATGATGGGATTAAATGAATCGTATAATGCAATTAGGAGTCAAATTTTACTGATGACACCATCTCCTTCTGTTAGTCAAGCTCATGCTATGCTTGTTCATGAGGAGAGTCAAAGGAAGATTTGTGAGACGAGTTCACAGGGAGGTATAGTCAGTGACTTACATGAAAGTACAGTGTTGATGAGTCTACATAATAATCAGCACAGGCAAAAAGGATTCAATTCATATAATAATTCAGGATACAGTAGTTATAATAGCAATTCTTTTTGTGATCTCTGTAAGAAGAAAGGACACACACAGAACATATGCTACAGGTTGATAGGCTACCCACCTGGATACAAAGGGAAGAAGAAACCTCTGTTTAATCAAGGGAATAACAACATAGGAGAAAATGTTTGGGATAGACAAGCTAATATGGTCATGCAAGATACTGTAAATGATAGGGGAGATGCTGGTCACAGAGGTAATAGTGCTGGAAACATTGAAAATGGTCAAAGACAGTATAATCAGAGGATTAACATGGTTCATGCTGCTGGGGAGGTGAGATAACACAAAGGTCACAGTCACAGGCTTCTCATTAGCCAAATCTTGACATTTGCAACAAGTCAGGTTCAAGGGGACCAAACTATTTTACTGATCAACAGTATAGTCAAATAATGAGCATGCTAGACAAGGGTAAAGGAGTTGAACAAGCAGGCACCATGGCAGGTAATGCTATTTCTCATTCATTGCAGAATTGTACAGATGCTTGGATAATTGATACTGGAGCCACAGACCACATGACCAGTAATTTGCACTTATTGACTAATGTGACCAACACATATGACACAATGAGAAGTAATGTGTATCTTCCAAATGGTAAGACAGTGCCAGTTGATTACCAAGGAACATGTCAAATTGCAGGTGGCTATGCCATGGGAAATGTCTTATATGTGCCTGATTTCAAGTATAACTTGTTATCAGTATCACAACTAACAAAAGAATTATCTTGCTCAGTGATATTCTTTCCACACTTTTGTGTCTTCCAGGACCTTTATACTGGGAAAGTGAAGGGGATTGGTAAGGAAGAGGGTGGCCTCTATCTCTTACAGCCAAAAAATTCTGAGAAGATTTGCAGTAGAACAAGCAGCAGCAGCAGCCTTGCAGAAAAGGTCATAGATAATGTTCAAACATGGCATAAAAGACTTGGACACATCCCAGCTGGTGTTATGCAGAAGTTGTCTTTCCTACAAAATAAAGTGTCAGTCTG